CAAAGTTATTCTGCTTTAACTATCTTTAAATAGAAATGGAAACTCATGCTTTGTTTTGCTTACTTTTTTCTTCCAACTCCATGACTATGGCAGACAGCATTTTCATCTGATCTTTAAGAGCGGTTAAATCTTCAGGCTGAAAATACAAAAAGACCTTTTTGTTACCACGCGTCATGTCTACCAAAAAGATACTTTTTGTAGGCTCTCTGTGAATAGCAAATTGAAATGATGTTAAATGTCGCTATTTCAGAAAGAAAAAGTGCAATCCAGAACAATTATAATAATCTTTTCAAAAGGCTTCAGAGCGAACAAGCAGAGTTTTGAACATGCACTACTTCCGCCATATTAGCCTAAACTTTTTTAAAATTTTGTTAACACGCTGCGCCAGAAAAAATCATTTGGTCGATTTACAGCAAGATTTGTAATAGCCTGCGTAGCAGCGGCTGGGAAGTAAATGGGCTAGATTTGTAAAGGGAGAGGCTCATTTTTCACCTGGGCCGGAAAGCATTTTAGCTTTCCAACATCTTGAATTCAGGGTTTTGGAGGATTAACTCAAACTCCGCCAAATAACTCTATAGATTTAACTCCGAGAATAGCCGTCCCCGATCGTTTTGCTGGATGACCAAGTAAATTTACGTGTAGGCCTTTCAGTAATTTAAAACTAAGATCGTCTTTTTAAAACTAACCGAGGCTCCGATAGCTGGGCGGCCAGGTTCTCCCGCTGGACCCGGAAGTCCAGGGGGTCCTCGTGGTCCTTGTATTGATTCTCCAAGTTCCCCCTTTAATCCCGGGGGTCCGATGGGTCCTGGAGATCCAGGTAGTCCCGGGTCTCCGGTCACTACTGTCGTGGTACCCGGCTCGCCGGGATCTCCTTTCTCGCCTTTCTGGACTCTTAAACGACGTGATTGCCCTGAAAGTAACAAAAACAAAAACAATCAATTTATATTCGCTTTTCTACGCTTAAGTGCAGACTAGGAATGCCAATGCGTTTTTAAGTTCCACTGATATCCTACCCACCTTGGACTCCGTTTAAACCTGGAGGCCCTGGATCTCCGGTTTCCCCTCGTCTCCCGGGGGGCCCGGGGGGTCCGGGTGGCCCGCGAGGTCCTGATGGACCTCTTGAGATTTCGCTGTCCTGAACTATCGCCTCGGCAGGAGCTTTTTGACTTTTCTTTTAAAAATAAACAGAAAATGGGCTTCTTTAACCTTCGACCATGAAAAGAGTCTGTAAGTTATGTAAGTTACAAGGCGTCCATTGCATGCATGCTAGAGGTAGGTTTGGTCTAAAATTTGAAACGGCGAAACAAACACCACAAATCAAAGAGTTCGGTTACTGGTTATCTACAAATCTGAATCAACCAATAAATAAACAAAAGAAAATCAAAGCAAAAGGCAGTTTGTAACGGAACATCCCAAAAAATGAAACTACATTTGTATTTTCAGCTGAGCTCAAAGACATAGTGACAGTCTTTTTTAAAAAGAGAAGAGCTACTTCATTTGGTCGGCATCTTGGTACATGCTGAGCTTCAGTCTAAACGCGGGTTACCTGCCAGTCCCCTGGCTCGTCTGTTAACCGGCGAGCAAGCTCTCCGAGAAGTCACGCGCGAGCGACATACGTAATGACGCGCGACAGCGACGCCGGGGCACTTTATCATTTTGTTAGTTTTACTCATGTTTTCCCTTGAAATTCGATCTTCATACCAGTTACTAACCTGTTCCAAGGCTTTTAACCTGGCTTCCAGCAGAAGAAACTTGGTGCAATTAAAACAGGCTGTTGAAACAGAAGCACTCCAGTTGATGGCTTGATGTAAATGAAAGTCATGATAAAAATCTTACTTGGAACTGACTTTGATAGAATAGCACCCACCTTGACTGCAATCTTTTCCTGTGAAGCCGGGACAACAGTGACCGACGTAATCACTGTTCTCACCTCTATTTTATACTGCGGACGATAGGTTACCCTGAAAATACAGTCGAACCTCTTATAAGTGACGCTAAAAATGCGAAGATTTAGCGGTAGCTCACGAGAGGTGGTCGCTTACGAGAATAGATCCACGGGGCTCTTTTCCGAGTACAGCCTGCGTAGCTGGTGGGATTGTTATGCGCGGGGTATTTTCTTTATCCTCAGGGTATTTTCTTCGCGAAGGATTTTCGGTGACTTGCTCCCAAACTTCTGAGTAGAGGAGTGGTATCAACTTATTAAATTTGGCAAGAGAATTTATTGCATGCAATTTACGAAATACACAGTTCCATGTTGTCACTAGCAGTTTTTGCTATACGTATACTATGAAAATCGTAGTGCATACATTAAAATCTAAGATTTCAGACCATGCTTCAATTGAGGTTTAAAACGATGGAAAGTTATAAAACTGATGCTCCAAGAAGTTGTTACGGTCGTTTACAAGAGGTGATCGTTAACGGGAGGTTTCGGCTGTAGCCGGGGTTTGAAGTGCTTTGGGAAATTGGTCGTACATGGAGGCTCAAAGATGGACTCAAAAACGACTACTATTGCCAACAAAAACAAACGCAAATAATGCAATAGAGGCATCAAAAGCTGTGGGAAGACAAAAAATTACAAGCGCCGAAGAACTTGCTAATTTTAGCGTGAGAAACTGTGTTGTCAAGGGCGGGAAATAATGCAACCAGTGTGTACTGTCGCACTTTGTAATAATCGTCTCACTTTGTAATACCTTTCGCACTTTGTAATAAAATTGTCACACTTTGTAATACCTGTCGCACTTTGTAATACCTGTCGCACTTTGTAATAACACTTGTCGCACTTTGTAATAAAAAAGCTGTCGCACTTTGTAATAACAGACCATCGCACTTTGTAATAAAAAAAACTGTCGCACTTTGTAATAACACTTGTCGCACTTTGTAATAAACTTGAAATAGATGGTCGGAGGACAAGTAAACCCAGTAATATGTGTCATCATCGACAACAACAACAACGACAATAATAATGATAATAATAATAATAATAATAATAATAATAATAATAATAATAATAATAATAATAATAATGGCTTATACCGTGGATCAAATCACAATTTCATTGGCTTATGCCATGCATCAAATCAACAATAACAACATTTTCATTGGCTTATGCCATGGGTCCAGTCAACAATAACAACAAATTAATTAGATTATTCACATCACATTTGATTGGTTTATAAACTTTTGTAAAATCTGATTGACTAATTTCGATCCGACCATAGGTATTAAATAGGTTGAGTAGAAGTGTGTCTTAACTCATTTCATCATGAATCATCACGAGTTACTTACCTTGATCCAAAGTTGCCATGCTATTTTAACCTTTCTTGTGAATCGTGGTTTGCTGGCTGCCAGGCGTAGGTGCTCTTGTGGAAACCGAATGGTTTTACGAGATAATAACTCTGATGATGGTTATCACTGGGAATGTCCAGTTAACAAGTGCAGAAAACGAAGATCAATCAGAGCTGGTTCTTTTTTCGAAGATTCCAAAATCCCGCTGTCGCAATGACTGTACATCATCTTCTTGTGGTCAATTGATGAGTCCAACAAAAAAGTATCGCTACTAACCGGTTTGTCGCTTCGTACGGCTGTCACGGCACTTCAGAGACTCCGAGACATCTGCTCCCTGAAAATTCTACACGGCAACGTTAGACTGGGCGGCCGAGGAAAAACTGTAGGTTGCATCTGAACAATTTCCTTCCGTAGATGTGGTCGAGGAGCTTGAAGAGTCGCTCGAGTGCGAAATATTCCTCTTTCTTTTACGAACAAAAACAAATTCATTGGAACAGATTGATTATCCTTCACTTGAATTATTTTCACAGTCAGAGCTCATATTCTAAGCACTGTCTAAGGGCGTTTAAGCCATTGCGACATGTGGGCAAGAAGAAACGCGGGCAATTCTCGACCCCTGTTGACTCCGCGCGTGACGTACGACCCGTCATTTCGTGACGGCGCATGTTCAGTCATAGTAATCCGTTACGAAGCGCGCAAATAATGGGGGTAGTACTTGGTGTAAGACTGCCCATAATGTCCCGGGCCACCGCCCACCACTGTCAGTGCTGTAGTGGCTGTACCCTAGTAGACACAATGATACCTGTAGTGGCTGTAGTAGCTGTAGTACCTGTAGTAGGTGTAGTACCTGTAGTAGCTGTAGTAGCTGTAGTACCTGTAGTAGCCGTAGTACCTGTAGTACCTGTAGTAGCTGTAGTAGCCGTAGTACCTGTAGTAGCTGTAGTAGCTGTAGTACCTGTAGTAGCCGTAGTAGCTGTAGTACCTGTAGTACCTGTAGTACCTGTAGTACCTGTAGTAGCTGTAGTACCTGTAGTACCTGTAGTACCTGTAGTAGCTGTAGTAGCAGTAAGTAAGTAATAAACTGCTTTATTTGCATGACCGCATCACTTTACAGTATTGCAAAAGCATGTATATGACAATCAAAATAAAAACAAAACAGCACTAATAACAATCTAGAAAAATTCGGTTACATTACTAACAATGAATCACGTATTTTCATGCAGGAGGAGACAAACTTCATAACTAACTTATTTACATGATGTTCCTTCGAATTCATTATCAGTTTTATGCTTTCCGGAGATGATTTCTTGTCAAAGTCAGGTATTATTCGATTGATTTGATTAATAAATGCCTGTCTCTGTACTGAGTATTTGTTACATTGAAAGAGGAAATGAATCTCATCTTCTACCTGATTTGAGTTACATAAAGGACATAATCTATTTTCTCTTGGCAAATGATCGATTTGGTATCGACCATGTTCAATCATAAGTTTGTGATTACTTATTTTAAATTTAACAAAATTCTGTCGTTCGTCATAATGTCTTAGCTGGTAGAGATAATCGGATGTAGAATATTCATCTTTAAAAGTTTTATAAAATTCTAGTTTTTTTGAATTTTCGAGGCTGTGCCGCCAAAAAGATAGATATTTCTCTCTCATTTCTGTGGTATATCGTCTAATTTTATCATTATCTAGAGATTCAGCATCTAAACTGGTTAGATTGTATTGTTCAAGCATGTTTATGAAATTGGAAAAATATCCGGAATTATTCATAGAATGTAGATTCTTTGACATAAGGAAAGACTGTTTGACTATAGAGTCATTATCTTTGTTGTTGAGGTAAACAAAATATTTCATAATTTTCTGATTTATCGGGATAAGCAGCGGCAGTCTATCAAGTTCAGCTCTGCAGGCTATGTTAGAGGCCTTATTGTTAACCTCTAAGTAACGTTTACAGAATTTGAGGTGGATTTTTTCTATTGGGGAGCTATCCCATTTTTTAAAATCTTGCTTGGTGTACATTCCCCATACCTCGCTGTTGTAACTCAAGATTGGGAATACCATGGTGTCAAAAATTTGGGATGCAGTATTAGCTGTAGTAGTAGCTGCAGTAGTATTAGTAGTATTAGCTGCAGTAGTAGCTGTAGTACCTGTAGTACCTGTAGTAGCTGTAGTAGCCGTAGTAGCTGTAGTAGCTGTAGTAGCCGTAGTAGGTGTAGTACCTGTAGTACCTGTAGTAGCTGTAGTAGGTGTAGTACCTGTAGTAGGTGTGGTAGCCGTAGTAGCTGTAGTAGCCGTGGTACCTGTAGTAGCTGTAGTAGCTGTAGTACCTGTAGTACCTGTAGTAGCTGTAGTAGCTGTAGTAGCTGTAGTAGCTGTAGTACCTGTAGTAGGTGTAGTAGCCGTAGTAGCTGTAGTACCTGTAGTAGCTGTAGTAGCCGTAGTAGCTGTAGTAGCTGTAGTACCTGTAGTACCCGTAGTACCTGTAGTACCTGTAGTAGGTGTAGTACCTGTAGTAGCTGTAGTAGCCGTAGTAGCTGTAGTACCTGTAGTACCTGTAGTACCTGTAGTAGGTGTAGTACCTGTAGTACCTGTAGTACTTGTAGTAGCCGTAGTAGCTGTAGTAGCTGTAGTACCTGTAGTAGCTGTAGTAGCTGTAGTAGGTGTGGTAGCTGTAGTAGCTGTAGTAGCTGTAGTAGCTGTAGTAGCCGTAGTAGCTGTAGTAGCTGTAGTACCTGTAGTAGCTGTAGTAGCTATAGTACCTGTAGTACCCGTAGTACCTGTAGTAGCTGTAGTAGGTGTAGTACCTGTAGTAGCTGTAGTAGCTGTAGTAGCCGTAGTAGCGGTAGTAGCTGTAGTACCTGTAGTACCTGTAGTAGCTGCAGTAGCCGTAGTAGCTGTAGTAGCTGTGGTACCTGTAGTACCTGTAGTAGCTGTAGTAGCTGTAGTGGGTGGAGTAGTACCTGTGGTGGCTGTGGTACCTGTAGTAGCCGTAGTAGTTGTAGTAGCTGTGGTACCTGTAGTAGCTGTAGTAGCCGTAGTAGCTGTAGTAGCTGTAGTAGCTGTGGTGCCTGTAGTAGCCGTAGTAGCTGTACCTGTGGTACCTGTGGTGCCTGTGGTACCTGTAGTAGCTGTAGTAGCTGTGGTACCTGTGGTACCTGTAGTAGCTGTAGTGGCTGTACCTGTGGTACCTGTAGTAGCTGTAGTAGCTGTGGTACCTGTAGTAGGTGTAGTAGCCGTAGTAGCTGTAGTACCTGTAGTAGCTGTAGTAGCCGTAGTAGCTGTAGTAGCTGTAGTAGCTGTAGTGGCTGTAGTACCTGTAGTGCCCGTGGTGCCTGTGTAGTACCTGTAGTAGGTGTAGTTTTCTGTGGTAGCTGTGGTAGCCTGTAGTACCTGTAGTGGCTGTAGTGCCTGTGGTACCTGTGGTACCTGTAGTGGGTGTAGTACCTGTGGTGCCTGTAGTACCTGTGGTAGCCGTAGTAGCTGTAGTAGCTGTGGTACCTGTAGTGGCTGTAGTAGCTGTGGTTGCTGTGGCTGTGGTGGCTGTAGTAGCTGTAGTAGCCGTGGTGGCTGTGGTGGCTGTGGTACCTGTAGTAGCTGTAGTGGCTATGGTGCCTGTAGTGCCCGTAGGTACCTGTAGTGGCTGTAGTGGGTTGTGGTACCTGTGGTGGCTGTGGTGGCTGTAGTAGCCGTGTTAGCGGTGAGTGGCTGTAGTACCTGTGGTACCTGTAGTAGCTGCAGTAGCCGTAGTAGCTGTAGTAGCTGTAGTACCTGTAGTACCTGTAGTAGCTGTAGTAGCTGTAGTAGGTGTAGTACCTGTGGTAGCTGTAGTACCTGTAGTAGCCGTAGTAGTTGTAGTAGCTGTAGTAGCTGTAGTAGCTGTAGTACCTGTGGTAGCTGTAGTAGCTGTAGTAGCCGTAGTAGCGATAGTAGCTGTAGTACTTGTAGTACCTGTAGTACCTGTAGTAGCTGTAGTAGCCGTAGTACCTGTAGTAGCTGTAGTAGCCGTAGTAGCCGTAGTAGCTGTAGTACCTGTAGTAGGTGTAGTAGCCGTAGTAGCTGTAGTAGCTGTAGTAGCTGTAGTACCTGTAGTAGGTGTAGTACCTGTAGTAGCTGTAGTAGCTGTAGTAGCTGTAGTACCTGTAGTAGGTGTAGTAGCCGTAGTAGGTGTAGTACCTGTAGTAGCTGTAGTACCTGTAGTAGGTGTAGTACTGTAGTAGCTGTAGTAGCTGTAGTAGCTGTAGTACCTGTAGTAGCCGTAGTAGCTGTAGTATCTGTAGTACCTGTAGTAGGTGTAGTAGCCGTAGTAGCTGTAGTACCTGTAGTAGCTGTAGTAGCCGTAGTAGCTGTAGTAGCTGTAGTACCTGTAGTAGGTGTAGTACCTGTAGTAGCTGTAGTAGGTGTAGTAACTGTAGTAGCTGTAGTAGGTGTAGTAACTGTAGTAGCTGTAGTGTCTGTAGTAGGTGTAGTAGCTGTAGTAGGTGTAGTACCTGTAGTACCTGTAGTAGCTGTAGCAGCCTTAGTAGGGGCGTCCAGTGGTGTAAGGAATTGTAAAGATTCCTTTCTACCTTCCAGCCAATTTTCCAAGCATTCATATGGACTGGTCTCACTTTCAAGTGCCGCTGCACCGCAACATGAAGGAATCTAGACCCAGCAATATGAGGTTCATGGGATCGTTATTAGCAGCAGAGTGGCCAATGCGTATTATAAAAATTTGATGAATAAAAATACGAAAGCTGTTGAGTATACATTTTTGCCGAAAATTAGCTTAAGCGGGCTTCAAAGCTATTTCGCATTATTTCGGGTTCAACGGGCTTATCGATTTAGTCAATCGACCAAACTTGGAGGATTATTAGGAGTAAGCCAGTGAAACCGAGTCCATAGTCAAAGGGATTAACATAAACTACGGTCGATTTAATGGGCGAGAGAATATATAGAATATAAATGTAGGTATGTGAGTCCTAAATGGAACCTTCTACAAAGTACGATTTGCACAAGCTTATGAAAGGAACGTCAAGGTTCACACACATTTGATCAAGTTAGTGATATATAGAAATATTTTCTAGCTTTTATCTTTTTACGCGACTGCTCTTGTTCTTACGACTGGGGTGTCCCATGCTCAATTGCACAAAATTGACCCGGCGAGGCTACCAGGGGCACCCAAAGACAATTTTCTGCGAAATATCTGTTCGGAGAAGCAAATATTGCCAAGAATTTTCTTTTGCTTGAGGAAGACTAAAAATTTCTAGATGGACCTTCCATTCATAAACAATTTTCGATGCTTTATACCTAATAAATTCCCTACGAATTCTGATTTTTAATGTTTCAAAATCAGTTCCCACGTTACAATATTTTTCTTTTATTTTATTTTTTTGGATTCTAAAATGTGATGGGGAGAGGTAACCAGAAAAATCATCACTTTCGTAAATCGTTAAATTGCAACTAAAATTTTCGAAAAAGTAACACTGAAGCCTTTGTAATTTTGAAAACTAACTTAAGTTCCTCTAGGATGACCGGTCAGACCGGTAGGGCTTTCCATAAGTTGTTCGAGATTTTCCAAAAAGTTTCTCATTATTTCTCAAACAAATGCTCAAAAGTTGCCAAAAACAATCAAAAGTTGCTTATTGCAACAAAACTTACTCAAAAGTTGCTCGAAAAACAAAATGTTTGTTTGGTCTGAAGTTATGAAAATATGCAAATTGTACAAACAAAAGTACCATTTCTTAGCATTTTTGTGCAATTTTTCAGCGCAACCAGCTTTGCTTAATAACTTTGTCCGGAGTTAAAATCAAGAAAGAAATGTAATGAGCCAAGAAAAATGCTTAATGACTTTCTTCACCCGAGACACTCGAGTCAGTCGAGTGAGAATCTGCGTCAATCATTTAAAATTTTCTGTAAAGACCGCAGACTTATCTTGCGCCCTTAATGTGCCTCAGGGGAGGAGTATTTGTCTCCTTTTTTCTACTGGTAATTTGCAACTTGTATACAAAACATTGTGAAATATGGAACAAAGACTAATTTAAACACTAAGAGCTGCTCCGATATCACAGAGTTAGATGACAAAGTTCTAGAAAATCTTAATAAAAAAGCCAATAGTTGCTATATAGGAAGGAAGTTGTTCGAAATACGAGAAGTTGCCGAAAAGTTGCCGAGCAACTTGTGGCCTGCTTGTGGAAACTCTAATGACCTAAACGATAACAATTTTGTATTGCCGCTTAGAATGCATTTCTAGGGCGCAGAAAAAGAAAACTCTGGACAGCGTAAAAAGTGTTTCCAACGTACTTTAAAGGAGACAGTTGTTGGGTGCCCCTGAGGCTTTCACCCTTTACTAATTTCACCTTTTTTTTGTTTTGTTTTTTCTGTTTCCAAGGACTTAACTCAAAAACTACCAATAAAGTATGCTCTTGTGGAAAGAACAATGCCAAGGATGGCCAAAAGGCGTCTTGTACAAAGGACGACAAAGGACACAGCCATTGTCCCTGCGTGATTTCGGGACATTTTTGTTCCCGCAATTGTAGATGCAAAAGGTGTCAAAACTCAACCATGCAGGCTGCTTGCTCTTCTACGAGTCGAGTGAACTTGGATACACTATTGAAGTATCTTGCAAATGTGGCCACAACAAAGTAAAATACGATAATAAGTACGTTTCCTGCCGAGATGGCCCTAGGAAGTCGAAATGCCCATGTTTGCGTGTGAACCAAGAATGTGGGTTAGAGTGCAGCTGCTTTAACTGTGGAAATTCTAACATGAGGAAACTTAAAAGGGGTAATGAAAAAACAGTATCCAGTCCTACCCAACTCAAACGTAAGCGTGAGCGTCCATCACCGTACAAGAAAAGAAAAAGCGCTGAGTATTTGTCCTTGCAAGGCGCACATCCTGTAGATGGCCCATGGACTAATCACGAGACTTGTCTTCTCTTCTGTGTCACCTCCCTCATAGAAGCCACTATAGTGACGCCATCGGTAGAAAATATCACAGCCTTATTTAATTACGTGACGGACTCAAAAATTTGCAAAGATAACAATTATGCGTTAAGGAGGGAAAAACAGTCACAGGTGTCCGCGAAGTTAAAAATACTAAACGAAAAAAAAGAATTGGAAATCGCGTTATCAAGTTAACAACCACTGTTCACGAAAGAAAAATAGACATCATCTAGATTGGCTACTTTCCATGAAGGAAAAACACACACTTCTTCTTATTTCAAACATCCCACGAAAGGCAAGCCAGGGCCCTGAGTATTTTACTGTAAGGGATGAAAGACTGTTCAAATTAACGATTGCAATGTTTCAGGCTAAGGGCCAGGCAGTATTCTCGTCCCCACAGTTTCGATTGGATCCTTTTGGACAGTGTCGGTGATTGAGAGCTGTCCCCGACGAAAAGTCGAAGAGAGGAACTCGAAGCTCTGTTGTGTGTGACGTCACCCTTGGACATGGCTAAGACTTCCTGGGAGCTTGTAAATACGCTTTTACACTTAAAATAAATGGAGAACATGGGTAACTGAGTACAACAAGTAACGCATTCGTTATAAATAGTAGTTGTCGGAAGAAGTTCCTGTAACTTCCGTATGCATCAAATTCATCCTTTTTGTCAATTCCCCGTCATTCTTTGTTGTGGGAAGAAGAGGTTAAAGAGGGTTTCTGAGTGATTTGAATCGGTCATTTAAGCAAAAGGAGTTATGAGAGAAGTGCAAATTCGTTTGACGTCAGTAAAATATATGAGAGAAGTAACGCGTCAAGGTAATTTTAAAACCTCATTTCACGATATATTGGTAATAAAAACTGTAAACATTTGAACTGGCTTTGTAGGTGATAAAAACGTTTTGAATGAAAAGTTTGGAGTTTCTGTTTCTGTTCAGCTCTGTTTATGACTGATGGAATTCTGTTGAAGCTGAAACTTTTTATGGCTGTGAAAATAAAGCTTATTGTTGTTGTTGTTCTTGTATGTTGACAGACAAGTATATAAGCAGACGTAGACTGAGTATCAGGCCTTCTCAACCTTATCTCTTCCCCTTTCGCCCAGAACCGCCTAATACTCAAAATTAAAAGCGGACATGGCACGATGAAGCTTTTGGTATGAAGAAGTACGTTAACTCGACCAAAGGTGAAGAAATTTAAGAATAAGAAATCACACCATAATAAATGACGTTAACTAAGCCACCTTTAAATCACTTTTCCCTGTCTATATCAAAGCCTTTGATCCTTAGGTAGGTTATGGTACAACTGTATCTATTGGTTGAGATTTGAGGCACTTTCGGGCTAGAAAAGTTCAGCTATTCCACACTTGGTAGTATTGTTGGGCTAGAGTAGTGTACTATGTTGAAAGACAAGCCCTGTTGGTGGGTTCCCTAGTATTAACATGCGCAAGGATCTAGTTCAAGAGGGTCCAGTGGTGCCTAACCCTGACCCAAAAGAATGACTTGTCTTTGTTTCCCGCCTCCAATTATGAAAGACCTTGCAAGCAGCTCCTACACTTCTCGTTCATGACATCACCCATTATTATAACCAGTTAAAAAAGTAATTTCCTGCAAACAAAATAAGTGAGTTCCTCCATATCTAGTGGGCGTCTCTCTTCTACAATAGGAATATTGGGTTGCCCGCTCTATACCCACCTGATTGACTCATGTAGAAACAATTACCTGTTCAAAGTGAAGGCGAGCTCTCCATTCAGCAAGTTTAATAGAGCGCTACACCTCCGTTAGCGATTGATGAAGTAGAGAAAGTCCAGCGCTGCGCTGCGACTGCCCTCTGAATTTTTGGCATTGCTTGTGTCTTGGGTGTCTTGTCAGCTTATTACATTGCCTTCCCATCCAGCCCAGATCTAGTTTCCAGTCCTCTTTTGGGGTGCTTGGCCACTATATTTCGCGTTATACTACGCATTAAACATGTTTTTACAAGCTTAATTACTTCAATTCAGTCCAGTGAATGCCTTTAGTTGTAAAAAATGTCCAAGTTTGAAAAGACAATGGTGTCATCGGAAAACTGTTATAAGCCACCTTAAATAAACAATGATAACTAATATAAAAGAGAAGGCCCTTCAGGCGTTTCCTAGTATTCGGAAGCAAACACGACAGTTCTTAATAAACTTAATCCTGATACCTAATCCCAAATTCTTGACACAAGGATATTCACTGGATATTCCCCATCTTAACTTACAACAGCGAGGCAAGGGGGATGTGCACCGAGCAAGATTTTAAAAAAATGGGATAGATCCCCAATAG